ATTCGATAGATTTAATATCAACCAGTGGCAAATCTCTCGAAATTTTCGAAGCTTGTTTGACGCTAATTAAGTGCTCAACATGTAAAATATAAAAGCTTACAAATTATTTATATTTTTTATTAAAGAATACAAATATTTGTATGAAAGCAATACCATAAATTATATTGCTTTATATTTTTTAATTGAATTTTAATAAACTTAAATGTAATATGAACGAATTGTGAATCAATCAAGTCAGTGCACCATTCATTGAATAAGAATGAAACTATTAATTTAAAAAAATGGTGCGAAATGGAGTGTTATTAATAATTATTAAAGCAAGGTTTGTGTACACCACTTTTTGTAAAAATTTATCATAAGAAAGTAATTATTAAAAAATAAAAAAATTACTAGTCATATATCGACATATTCCTGACCTTTTACAATACACGAATAAAGGTATATTCAATTTATATTACTTTATTCAATAATAACTGCACGTTCCTTTTTCTTGGGCCTATGAGGCAACGGATTTTATTAAAGACATCTATATGAGCAATGTTTTTCACTATGCTATGCCATTATTTCAAGTTTTCGAAATATCAGGCTGTAAAGATGTATAATATTTTATGACAACTATAAACAACACAACATCCGTCATGTATAATCAATATAAAAGTATAGTATACAAGTTAGTGGTAGAAAGCATGTGTGGTTTTTATTAGTATAATCAATGTAATATATTTACAATTTTTATATTTGGAGAATTAGGTTATTTTGAGCAAATAGCGCAAAAGAACAATTTGGTAACTTTGAAAATAATTAAATCAAGAAAGGAAGTTTTTAACCACAAGTCTTCTCTTCGAGTAAATGAGCCTAATGGCAATATCACAAAATTTATTTACTCTTCCGTACAGTTGTACTAACCGGAATAGTTCAATATAAATATTTATGATAATAGTTCAGTATACATATGTTTGATATGTGTCACTTAAACAGTACAGTTTGCCAAATCAGAGATCCATAAAGTAGATAACTTTATATATATCTTATTTTCATACACATTTTGTTCAGAATTTCTATTTAATGTAGTTTAAATTTTAATAAGAAAAAATCAATTCAGCTGATACATGGTTCAGCTGATACATGGTAGTTCTTTGCTTTCTGTTGAACACTACTGAAATAAGATTGATGATTATGGTTTTGTTGTTAGTAAAAGATAAATTCAAGTATAGTATAAACTCAAGATTATTTTTTATCCAGAAGCAATTTTTTTCTAAAAGAGTTTTATTAAACAAAATCCATCAATGTTGAGATTACCTTTAAAACTTTGTGTAAAAATATAAACTGCAGTTTATGTGAATAGGAATAATTTTTATAGATGTTTTAAAGCAGTGATTCCCAACCTTTTTTTGACCATGGACCACTGTGATATGTCCATGTGACTTTGGAATCACAAAGTGTAAGAATAATAAAGTGTACTATTATTTTATTATGTTTTATGAGCTATATAATAGGTATGTAATTACTTACTTACTTACTTTTTTTGTTTATTTTTTAATAAGTGAAATATCAGTGAACAAACTACAAGCTATGTATCCATACCTGTTATATTTCATTTACAGACCATTTTTAATCATCTCCATTTTTAACCAACCGAACCAATAGAATAGAAACCACTCTGTTAAAAAGACCCCGGCTGAATTTTAAAATCGATAAATTCAATAATGTGAATCAAACATTGATATTATTATTACACACACGGATGAAGGAACAATTTAGCATTCAAAAGGTAATCAACATTAAGAAAGACAATATCTTAATGTCCATTAAGAAGGTAATGTCTAATGCTGGAATGCGGAAGTATAATTTATATTAATTACTTTCCAGCAAAGGATCCATAACTAGTAATCGACAACAAGTTAAAGCCTTAATGTAACATTTAGGTAAAATATTAAAATTAACTTTCCCATTTGGAAAATAAAAAAACGATCTTGTAGTAACATAATGCTTATTCCACCCAAGTGACTATTTTCTATTTCTAAAACTGAAGTAATGTAATAAATATGTAAATAGAGTATATATTTGAATATTGTTTTTAGTGGATTTTTTGGAATATGCGTTTTATACAATGGTTGGGAAAGTTCTTATTTTTTAAAATATAAATATTATAACACCGCTGGCTTATATGATTTCATGTATCAAATCTATTGTTGTTAAAAAATGTTAATTTCTTTTTATACCAATAACATTTCACAAATTCTCTATTAAGAAATATATAATCAGCTTAAATTTAAAATACATTAAAATGGTTAAATCGATTTTGGGAGATATGTATTATAAACTAAGAAATTGTTCCATACAATATATGTCTGAATGTACTTCATACGTCACGTAGTCCAATAATATTATATAAATTATATGGTATATATTGTTATTATTTAATAACAATTTACTTGTTTATAAAGCGTAAGGCAAAGAAAAATTATTATTCACATCTGTTTAATTTTAAATATTTACTCCAATTCAAAACTATTTCGATAAATTACACAACACTACGCAGAGCTGTATTCCAAAGTGTTGGATGAATGACTTGAAATAGTTAGAACATCGTTTGATGAAATAAATCGAGGTAAGAGTGTTTTGGGAAATAAAAAATAATCAATCCGAAAAAAATATGTTTTATTATTTTCCCAATTTTTTTATCTTGCTCTCGTTTAACAATCAGTAAATACCATCAATTAATATTCCTACTTCCGCTCTTCAAATTGAGCTGGAATAATTGCTGATCAATATATGGTATGCTGCAGAAAAAAAAAATCAAGAGATCTGCGTATTGAAGCTTTAGTTGAAGTCTGCTTGTAACGGCTGTCATAAATTAAATTATAAATGAGCATGTTTTGCATTGCCACTGCATTCAATTAGATTTGTTAAAATTTATGCAATTTTCTAATAAAAAAAAATTGTTTTTTAATGAAAATTCAATTTAGGCGACGACAACAGAATGAATAAATAAATTAAACATTAACAAATGTCAATTTATAGACTGCGAAGCTAATTTTTAGTTATACTCGTAGGTACCTTTTTATATATATCAGTTGTCTTATTTAAATTTTAAAAAAATTGAAATAATTTTCATAATATATTAATTATTTATAAATTATTACTATTATATATTTAAAGAGATTGTAAAATAATTGACGCGAAACGTGCTTTCGAATTTCGAAAACATTTATATTTATAATAACTATTAGCATTCTGAATGCTTTGTTTATCTAGCCTTGTTCTATGAACTATAAAAAAACCTATAATAATTATGTATTCAAAATAATTCGATTTTATTGCTATAGAACTTTTGAATAGGAGTGAATGCATTGAAATAGATTCCACAATGTGTAATGCGTCCGTCTGATTTGTTTTGAGAGTGCAAAACCTATAAACACTTTGAGTAAAAAAAGTTATAGCAATCTTATTAGTTGTGTTATATTTCTACAAATAATTCTGATTTTGTCATAATTTGTAACACAATAATATCTTCTATATTTGAATATATCTTTTTTCGATTAACGAAGACACAATAGATGATAAAGGTTTGATTTAGTTAGTTTGTTTGTGGTGGAGGGAGGACCATATCCTTCTCAATTAGCTAAGAAATCCGTTTTGAATCTAGAAATCCTCGTAATAATGGGGAGCAAAGAGAAGATCAAGCTAGAACCAAACAGAGCCATTAATAAAGGCAAGAATCTGGACAATGCTAAGGCTAGAGATACCGCCGAGTGTGTGGAAGAAGAAGGCCCTCAGAAAGTTAAGCCTAGTTCTGCTCAAGCCTGGACATAGATACAGCAGATGTCTGGTGTCCTTTCTTTGATAGCTGGTAAAGACCAGTGCCATGGTTCAGTCCCCTGTAAAGACAGATATTAACCTAGATACCTTTGCTTCTGTATTATAAGTCAGAGGTTCTACATATATTTGGAATAGATTGGCCATGTAGTCCTTGACCTGACTGCTGAGGCGGCAGGAGCGCACTTAATATTTGCTCACAGTTTGATTTAGTAAATTTCTGAAGTAGGAAAGGAGTTTAAAGTACAATAGTTAACGTGTTTATGTTATGTTTATGCTTTTAAATTTATTCTTTAAATTGTTTTAAACTAAGTTGATTTATGCCGGCGATTCTATGGATCCCCTTAGGTTTATTGGGCAATTGTGTTACCGCATAAGAACTCCAAGATAAAAAAAAAGAAGTAAATCGTTAAATATAGAGCCACCAGGTGTTTTAAAAATATTGTTTTTAAAATTTTTAGACCTTTGTGAGATTTAAACTACCCTACTGGTTTAGTATTTCAGGTATTAAGGGAGTAACAGAACCCTTGAAGATGTATATTAACTATGAATATCACTATTGTAAATAGTATTCACAGACAATGTTAATCGATGTTTCAAGATTTAAAACAGAACAGTTTTTTTCGATATAAACCATTTTTAAAAGTTATTTTCAAAGTTAAATATCTTATGTGTTGAAATCGGAATTTGAACAAAATTTTGAAATTTACCGTTATTCTAAAAGACATTTAGTGCTCTTATCTTATATTTTGCATGCTTTTATACGTTTATTAAATTTATAAGACCCTAGGCCGAGGCAACATCTCAATTATAATTTAGGCAAAGGCATTTAAGCTTTAACGTGTTTATCGTTTGAGTCGATTTCACAGTCGTATTTTAAGTCTCAGTACTGACTTAAGTCATGCTTAAGTTATTGCTTTATAAACTTTATTTATACTTATGTTTTGAGATTTACGTGACGACTGTGAAATCGTGCCTTTATATCTAATGAACTTAAGATTATTTTTGTTATAAATTTTAAATCTGCAATAAAATATGTTTCTAAAGTTTTAAATCAAAAGTTTCTAAAAATTAGCATACTTTTAGACTATTTGTAACCTAAAATATGCAATTTGCTTTTAAAATAAAATTGCTCCAAGGTATAAAATAAATTATTGATTATTTTTAATTTCATTTTTTAGGTGATTTTGGACGGTATCAGGCGGCACAGTTTTTTCTACAGGTTTTGTCCGCTCTCACAGCAGGATTACACATGCTGTCTTTAGTAACTATAGCTGCAATACCTGAACATCGCTGTTTTATAGATGATGTAGATAATAGTTCTTTTTCGTATGCACCTTGGAAAGACAATGCAATAATCTCTTCCATACCCACCAAACCAAGCGGAGAATTGGACTCATGTCATATGTATGATGCACAAAATAATATTATACCTTGTGAATCATACGTGTACGATCGCACCTATTATGAATCTTCGCGTACTATTGATTGGAACTTCGTTTGCGACCGTCGTTTTTTGGGTTCAATTGTGCAAACTGTATTTATGTTGGGTGTGTTTACTGGTGCTGTAACACTTGGAGGTCTGGCAGATAAAGTTGGTCGCAAAAGTGTTTTCTGTTGGTCAGCGTTGCTTCAACTTATTATAGGAGTTGCTGTAGCGTTTATACCAGAATATTTCTCATTCATGGTTGCTCGCTTCTTTTTGGGAATTTTTGGGTCAGCTGGCGCCTATATATGTGGTTTTGTTTTAACTATGGAATTGGTTGGGCCAAGTAAACGTACAGTGTGTGGTATAGCTTTTCAGGCAAGTATCGTATTCAATATCTACATGTTCTTAGTTAACACTTATTACTATCTTTTTAGGCTGTGTTTGCAGGTGGTATAATGCTTGTTGCTGGCTGGGGTGCAATTATTAAAGATCATCAAATGTTACAAATCGTTTACGGTTTGCATGGTTTATTATTCATAGCGCATTGGTGGTTACTAGATGAATCACCACGTTGGTTATGGATGCAAGGAAGGGCTGAAGAAGCCGTTGATATTGTCGCGAAAGGGTTAACTATAAACCGTTCAGGCATACCCTTGGATAAGGAATATTATATTAGAAAAGCTAAACAACAAGCTGCTTTAGAAGAGAAATCAAATGCTGGCTTAAGCGATTTGTTTAAGACACCCAACTTACGCATGAAAACTCTCAATGTATGTCTATGTTGGTTTGCCAATTCGCTTGTGTACTATGGTCTCTCACTCAGCGCTGGTAAGTTATATGGCAATCCGTTTTTGATACTTTTTATAATGGGACTCGTGGAACTCCCAAGTTACTTCACAATTGTGCTCGTACTCGATCGGTTGGGTCGCCGCCCAATAACAAGCACACTGATGATCGCAGGCAGCATTTGTTGTATTGTTGCAGCTTATGTAGCGCAAGGTAGCACCACGTCCACAGCCATTGTTATGATGGGAAAACTATTTATTGCTGGTTCCTTTGCTGTTATATATAACTATTCAGCTGAGTTGTTCCCCACAGTAGTTCGTAATTCTGCTATGGGTCTTGGTTCTATGTGCGCACGTTTATCTGGTGCACTTACTCCGCTTATAACTTTACTAGATTCATTCGATCCAAAAATACCAGCTGTTGTTTTCGGTGTAATTTCATTAGTTTCTGGATTTTGGGTTATGTTCCTGCCTGAGACTATGAATCAACCTATGCCAGAATCTATTGAAGATGGAGAAAACTTTGGTAAGGGCGACACTTGGTTTAGTCAATGTGCTGGTAAAAGACCGAGACAAAATAGTATTTATCCAGAAGATCCCGAACAAATGGTACCACTGAAAAATATCGACAAGAAATAAAACTTTAATTTAGTTGATTTCAAGAAATAACACATTCCTGCGAAAAACTATACTCCTTAAACCTTTTCTCATACTTTTTTGAAAAGGCGATTGTTAAAAATTTATTAGTTTTAGTTTTTATACAACTATTAAGTTATTGTTTGGAATGCTTTCCAAAATTTAAGTTATATACAAGTTTGTATAAAATTAATTATTTGTAAATATGCATTTAAATTGCTTTAAGAACAAAAAAATGCAAATTATCTAAATAAATAATATAATAATTATATTAAGTAAGTCTATTGTTTTTTATTTTTAATTACAGCTGATAGTCTTGTAACCATTCGTAGCCACTACCAAGCTATTTCTCACAAAGATATTTAAGTAGCAAATATATGTAATGATATATCAAATCTAGACCTTTTAGTGTATTAAGAAAAAATCTATACACTTATTCATAGATACAATAAGTTATAACAAAATCACATATAAGATATAAATTAACGGGTTAGTAATAAATATAATGTTAATTATATTAATAGTTATATATTAATACATAACTATGTTTCCACCCAAAAGTTAGGGTTAGTTTATTAGAACTTTTAGCTGATTATTTTTAAATAAAAATAATTTAAACTGTTTTAAGAGACAGCTCAAATTATATAAAATCATAAAATAGTTTTAATTTTGAATGAATGGCGTCGTTACTATACCTTTTAAAGTGCCCTATAAAGACAGATACAACCTTTGGTATTTGGGATTTAAAAAATTTTTGACGAATAATTAAAGATAAAAAATAATTTCAAAAAAAAACCTATCAATCTATGATATGATTGCTCTAAATTTACAATTTAAGATCCAGATCATATTTCCTCTCTTCCATATTTATCCTTTATATATATTTTGATTTAGATTACAAAAACTTATATTTTTGTATGTGCATTTCTTATAAGGCAGGAATAACATTGTGCAATATATATTGAGTTTTCGTTTGTTACTGTGTGACAAGCATATATTGTATAAAGTAAGTTGTTTGACATTTTACTTTTTTAAAACAGTTTTTAAGATTAAACCTATGAGTTGGACTGCCATTTAAATTTATAGTCTTTTAAACCTATGAGTTGGACTGCCATTTAAATTTATAGTCTTATTATGCTGTCAGTGTTTGTAAGTTTATTTTATGTGTTATTGAAACAACAGCTTCTTCATTTTAATCTAAATATCTGCTTCGCAATATATATTCTTTCTTAAAGTTGCCCTCATATATTTAAATGAATTTTATTAAATTATTTGTAATTGAGTTGTTGCTTTGTCAGTTATAATTTAATATCGTTGTTGTAGCTTTGTGAAAGAAATGATGCTATAACACTTAGTTGTTGCCATTGAAGAGTGGAAGTTTATTTAAAAATATATTGACTTACTTCCCAGCAGCTGTTTAAGTGTCATTATATTTCCATTCTCTTCATAAATTTTGAAAAGTATAGTTATTTCATTAAAAATTTTAGCGAATTGTTAAAAACAGAGATTTAGATCTTTTAGAGTTTAAGGTCGTCTTACTCTGTAACCTTTTTATTTTTAATTCTATATTTTTTTTGCCATCGTTAATTTTTATTTAGCAATTATTGATATTTGTAACTGGGATAATATGACAATATGTGCAGACATTGCTTTCGTACTTTTATGCCTGCGTTGGAAAATATCGGTTTAGCACACATTATTAGTGTAAAAAATTAATTCAGTAATATACTATAATAATATGTCATAACTAATATTGCAGAAACAACCAGAAAATGTTATGCGTTATACTTAATAATTAGATTTATAGTTTCCCAGAACTTTTTCTCATTCATATAATTTGCAATCTTTATTATAGTTTAATAAATCTAATAAACACTAAATGAATATTAAAGATCTTTACATACACAATGATATATAGTCAAACTTCCATAACTCGAACTTCTATAACTCGAATTTTCTATAACTCGAACCAAAAACAGTGCACCAAAGTTTTAGAAAGCAAATTACATACAATTCTGCTTCCATAACTCGAACTTCTATAACTTGCATTTCTCTATAAATCAAAAAAGAATTTTGTTCCGTGCCGATAGGAATATGGGAAAGGGCATTATATAAGTCGAATTTTTGTTTTAAGTATAAATGCACTTTACTGTTACGGGAAGTCCCTTTTTTCAAACCAAATATTTAATTTTTTCTTTCTTATGTTGCTTTTTTGTGCAAATACCAGTTTCTGGTAGAGTGGTTTAAAGTAAATAAAATAACTTCAAATGCGACTCATGAAGATTTTATTGAGCTGGACAATGAAATTTGTACATCAGCCTTTCCTACAGATGACGATATTATTGAACACTATAGCTCTAAATTACTGGATTCAATTCTAAGCGCAACGGAAAGTGATGATGAGGCTTCGGTGGATGTAATTGTTCATTAGCCTTCCAAGAATGAAATAGAAGACTTATTCAAAATTCAATATTTATATTTGCATCGAATGGTATTACAACTGATGATCACTATAAGAGTATTAATAAAGTGGAATCTCTTTTTACTGAAAATAAGAAAAAAATTAGTCTCAAACACTAGCTTCATGAATATTTTATTTAACTATGACTTCCCTGCTTTATTTGATTGAAAATAAATAAATACCTTAAAATGTAATTCGAGTTTCTTTTAAAAATAAAAAAAAAGATTAAAAAATTCTCTAACTCGAAATCTCCATAAGTCGAATCTTTTCTTTGCAAAATTTAACTTCGAGTTATGGGAGTTTGACTGTAGTTCACATCACAAAATGTAGCTTTTAAATCTATATTTGGTATTGGAAAAGACCTAATTTTTGCAGTTCTCTATATAATGCGAAAATATTTGTATTTAATTATTGCGTTGAATATTTTCAATATGGAAGTTACATATTCTTTATTAAATACATTTAAAAATTGAGCATCTTGGTGTTTCCAAATATCTGCAAAAATAAATAAAAGAATCAGAATAGAATCATTTACTTAAAAAATGAATTGAACTTACTTCACTTTATTATTACAAAGACATTCTAAAATTTAGAGGGTTTCGAATAGCAAAGAAAGAATGGACAAACACAAATTTTTATAGTTAATTTATTGAAATTTGGCTGACCATATAACGTTGTTTCGAGTTTTGCCAAGTACTCATCATCAGTGCTCTCAGGAAATATTCGAATTTCTTAATTAGCTTATAATCCGTATATAATTTGTTTGGACTTGCTTAGAACTCGTGCCTGTCATATTAGAAACGATGACTAATCGTTTTGGAAATTTGGCTGACCATATAACGTTGTTTCGAGTTTTGCCAAGTACTCATCATCAGTGCTCTCAGGAAATATTCGAATTTCTTAATTAGCTTATAATCCGTATATAATTTGTTTGGACTTGCTTAGAACTCGTGCCTGTCATATTAGAAACGATGACTAATCGTGTTTTTATACAAGTAGCCAAAGCTGCACAAACATTTCGGACGAACCCTTTTTGTGTTTGTTCTTTCTTTCTTTGGTATTCGAAACGCTCTAAATTTTAAAAAATAGCTTCTTTGTCATAAGAGAGCATAGCTTTGTCAGCCAAAGTAATTAAACCTTAAGAGAAATATTAATTGTTTCTTCCTGAAATAAAAATATTAACAAATATTCATTTATTAATTTATTTACATACTATATAATTCGTTCTCGAGTATTAACCGTCCTCGGCTCTGCATTCATTGTTTGACTATTATTATTGTTTTAATATTTCTATTATATCTGAGAAATAATTTATATAGCGGCACATTTTTTCATCTACAGATCTGTATGACAATCTTTGCAAGCATAATAGTTAAATGTGCAGCATTTTTCGTATATAGTTGATATGTTTCAATCTTTTATAATATGGAAAAAAATATTAAAATGTAAAGATACTCATACGTCGGGTTGAACTGCATATATTCCATTGTCGTGTTTTTAATTGCTTAGCATTAAAATACGCTAAAATTTTAGTGTGCCTATTGATGTAGATAGAAAACTATTTCAAATCTAAGTTATATCATAAATTTCCATTATAAATAATATTAAAAAAAGTTGTTACAGTTTAACTGACTATGTTACTGTTCGAGCTAAATACTTTAATACGTTGTCTTTCTTCTTAATAATTTACGTGAATGTAAAACGTGAATCTACTTAATAAACGTATTGGCTACTAAAGCTATTAGCTTAGTTGTATGGATCTAATTTTCACATCTTTAAGTATTTTATATAGTCTTTATGACTAAATTTATAATGTACAAAATTGTGGTTATTTACTATTGGAATGACTAATAAAGTCACAACAGCGGTAATCTGGAAAATTGCATTAAAATTAAACCAAGTGGGTTAAGTTACATGTTCACAAATAGTCGTCGTCGATTAGTACAGTCTAGCTCAGCTGACTAATTTTATTAAGAATTAAACTTGCTAATAGCACCTGCACTTGCATTTACATTCTTCTCTGCTATTTAGCGACAAGATGACTTGTTATTACTTCTCAGTTAAATTTTATTATACATAATATATAATATAATATACTTATATATATACAATTAAAAGAAACAAATTATGTTTTATATATATTAGTTAGCTCACAATTCATTCATATGTATTTGGATTTCAAAGTTTTAATATTAAGTTGAGAATTTATCTTAAAATTATGAAACAATTACATACATACAAAGATATTAGTTTCGAAATACAACACCTTGTAAATATGCAGACAAGTGTGTTGTGTAGGTATATACTAATAATTGTGTATTTGTGTATCTCTGTACGTATTTGGTATAGTTAGTATGTATGTTAATATATTTAGATTTCTTTAGTTGTTGATTTCAAGGTACAATTTTCACAATTAAAATTATAAGCACAATTAAATTCAATTTAATTTTAAAACATATTTTCGAAATCATAAATTTTATATTGATTGACCCAATTTGTGGGATTAAATATTTTCGATTGTGGTTCCTTTTTTTGTTGGAGTTTAAAATAATTATTAAATTTTGATTGAATATTTTGCTTGAATATTTTATGCAATTTGCTTTGGATTAATTGTATGATTTTTGGTTTTTCCTTTTCTAGTTAAAGGAGAGAAAAGTAATGCTTTGACATTCATAAATTTTACATAAATATTTTTAAAAATTTTACATTTTACATTTTCCAATTCTTATAAATATTATTTTTGTTTTTACAATTTTAAAAATTTATTATATGCTTTTTTAAAATTTATGTAGCACAATAAATAAAAACACTAACTAAATACAGCTATAGCTAAATAATTTTAATACAATAAAATAAAAATATTAAGACTTTTTAAAAGTGCAGCACATAAATTTGTGTTCCTTTACCTGTTCTTAATATTTTCTTTGTTTATCTAAAAAATAATCACATTTTAATATATATTCATATATACATTTTGCTCTATAGTTCATCTTTTAATATATATATATTGTATAGTATTATAATTAAGCTAAGACCAAATCTAATGGTTTTTTTTCAAATTTGTTTAAAACATTTAATTTAATTGCAATACTTAAAATATTTTATTTCACTTATACATATGTGTAACATATATCTGCATAATTTTTTATTTATATATATTTGTTTTTAAAATGTAGTTTAAAATTTATTTTCGACACGAAAATAATTTGAGTTTGTATGTATAGTGTGCCATACATGCATGTCTCGATATGCGAAGTAGCACATATAGTAAACAATGATCACGCCTTACTTTAATATACATCAAACTGACTGAACAGATAACTTCATTTACAGTGTTGCGGGCTACGCATATTCATTTGGTAAATTGCTCTTTTCCATCCAAAGTCAAATCAGCTAATGCAGAGTTTTGTGTAAAATATAGAAATGATGTATTTTAATGAAAAACTGATAATATTTTCATTTGCTTTCTCTTTAGAGAGAAAGATTTGCTCTTTATCTAGAGAGAAAATCATGTTCTAGTTTGCTGTTCGTTTTTCACGCAATCCTGTGTATCTTGTTATTTTATAACCAGCTTAACGCATTTAATGAAGTTATCTGTTTAGACAGAAAATTTCAAGTATTACACAATGGTGTATAACAGTTTCAAAATCGTATAACACTTGTAACAAAAAATGTCACTGTTCAAATTGTGCTTTTACATATGATAAAAAAAATTTAATTTAAAATGTAGCAAAATATTCAAAAAATAAGAAAATCGCCAAATTAATATTTTATCATAATATATAGTAATTGTAGAGCATACACATTACCCTATTTTTAACACTCAAAGTATCTAACCCATCACTTTTTCAATACAACATTTCTACAGATAACAGCCTCTTTTCTCTAACCATACATTTACGCTCGTTCGGGACATTTTGTCTGTACAATTGGTTGTTTGGCGCCACTTAATATATTAGGTCCACCCGCTTCTGGTAACATGGCGGTATGTACAATTATAGCTGGTTGATCGTCACTCTGTGGATGTAACTCATGCGCTTCACCTGGAGTAAGACTAGCTAATGCTGCAAGTAAATCATGATTTACAAGCGGCTCATTTTCTTCACGTGGCTCCCAGCCTGCTGGGGGAGATGCCGGTGGTGAAATCAGGAACTGTTTAACTGGTGCTGGTGGTTGAAGATTTTTATTCGAAACTGGTGTTACAGGTTGTGCAAAATAACATGTTATAACAGTTTTTTTATTAAACTCATACTGATGCAATTTAATACGTGCATTGGCTGCTGCAACAGCGTTATCATAATTTACACGCAAACGGCGGAAGCTGCGCAACCATTGAAATGTAGCTGACTCGCTGAATGTTCGAAATAGATCTTCCATCTCTTGTTTTAATTGTGGATTGGTGAACACTTCGGAGTGTATATTGGTCACTATAATCGATGTAGGCAAATCATCAAATGAATCCGGATCAACTTCCGGTTCAGCATCACTATCAATATCAGCTTCTGGCAATGTGGGATGCTGACTTGGCAAGCCATCAGCTGGATTGATAAATATATCTTGGTCAGGTGAGAATTTTTCAACACTGCCACCATCAGTGCTATTGCATGCTGATTTTAATTTTTTATTATGATTGTGATTATGGTTTGTATGCGGTGATTGTGGCGAATTGTGTGCATCACTTGTTGTGTCGCTTTGTTTCGGCTCGGAAGAAGGTGGTGAATTCGAAGGTGAAGACAACATTTTGTGTTACTTAGATTTTTGTATTAACTGAAAGTAGAATAAAATTAATAATTAATTAATATTATATTATAGAAAAAAAATTTACGCGTATATAATTTACATATTTCTTCTGAAATATAAAATGGAAATTTTAGTCATACAATCAAGACTTCAATTTTCAAAACTTTTTTTTTTATCAAAGTAATGCCAACATAAGTGTGTGTGATAAAATCTAAATACACCGCATTGCAATCCGGAAGGAAAGAACGTAGATTAAAAAAAATTCAGTGAAATAATTTACAAATCTAAGTGAAGAGTAAAAACCAGTAAGGTATAATATACATATTATAAAAATGAGCGCAGATATGGATTCCTTAGAAAAGAGGGAAATGCAAAGCTAGAGATCAATTCGTTTTAGATTTCATGCATTTAATAGCTTATGAAGTTAATATAGTTTATATATTACTCCTATAGATGGCCAAAAACTACTATCGTAACTTCTGATGAAAGGAACTTCGAAAAAAGTAATTTTTATGGTATCAGTTGGGAAATAGCCAGTATTTTCCATTTTCAACCAAAGCTATAACCACTGATTCGGACAAAAATTTGAAGTATCGTTAGAAGAATGTATTGAATTAATTAGAAATAATATGGCACTACAAAACAAAAATATGAAAACGTGCCTTTCTGAGTTAGTTGTTCAAATTTTCTTACTCTTCTCATGTTTAATGTAAAGTTTAGTTTCGTTAAAGGAATAAGTAAAGTTTTTTTTAATTTTTCTATTAAAATATTTATTATTATCAATAACTTATCGCGATATAGTATAAACTACCGATCATATCGATTTAAAATTTTTATAATATTATCAGTAATTTAACGGCTTAAATAATGCTTCCGTCTGCAAAAACTTCCTAAGTTCATTATTTATCTAGAGACACAATTTTGTATGCTGTATAAATATGCGCTTAGCTACTATAATCTCTAATTCACCAATTCCATTGTACTTAGCCATCACATACGCCCGTAACCATATTATACACCCACTTCCACAAAGCATTCTTCCATGATACATGTGTTAAATTGCACTTCCTCTGCGAAGGAGGAGGTAGTTTGCATGCATGCAGTTTGCAAGTTATGCAGGCATTAATGTTCGCATTTAGCTGTACCACTTTATATTGCAATAAGAGTCAAATAAAATGTAGTTTTGTATTTTATATTTTTGTGGAAATAGATTACATTGCATTTCTGTAGAATCCATATTTGCTAAAGAATACAATTGTAACCGTTAACATTGAATTTACTGATCAGAAGAAAGTTGAGACTACACAGACAGCTTATTATTGTTTACCAGAAATATAGATTCATTATCGCCGCTGTGTTAAGTTTATATGTAAAATATATGTGTGCATATATATTTTTTTAAATAAGCAAAGACACCTTAATTTAGAAAAATGTAAACGTATATATTAATATACTCATATATCCTATACATTATAATTTTTATACTTTTATATCACTGATTATAGCAACTATCCGTTATAATGATGGGATTGGAACGTCATCTTCAATGTTGGCTTCGACTGTGTATAGAGTGAAAATGGATCGGAAGTGATGGAATAATATAAATGGAATATATTTATATTAAAAATACTCCATACAGAATGTTAAAATTTTGAAGAAATAATAAAATAATATTTTCTTTAGAATTTTTTTCGTTCTACGGTCTATTTTTTTAAATTTTTGTTATATTAATGTATTGAAATATAAACTTGAATTTGTTAAGAAAAAGTTTTACTTGTGTTTATTTTCTATTTTATGGATTAATCTTGTAACAATAAGAGAAAGTAATAGCAGTAAAAACAAAATTTTTTTTTCTTTTAAGTATTCTAAGTATATTTACCACCTGCTTTACTAGGTTGGTACTAACACATCAATAACATTTTTTTCCATTTTCACATTCTACAACTAAAAATAAAAATTCGAACACATTTTTCAGACACTGGCAATGACATTGCGTTTATGACAGTTCCATGAAACTAAAAATACAAGCTGCTTGTGGGTGGCCTTAGTGACTTTTTATAGCTTTAACTACTAACTAACTACCCTTTAGGTATATAAAATAATTGTTTACTTTTTACAAGAGATAACAGTGTACAGTTCAAATGTCAGCTAAGTAGCAAAGATATACACATATATGCTGCAGTTCGTTAAGAAGTGGGTGCGTATGAAAAGGTTATTATTGCAACCTTTATAATTAAATATTAATTTATAGGTTAGCGGTTAAAGTACTATATCGAATTATATCCTGATAAGAAACTGAGAACGATTTTTTGAATTAATATATAAGAACATATACACTTTTTGATTTCGAAAGTATATGTTAATAATAATAGTTGTAGTAAAATAAATTCATTATTTTTATTGGAAATTGAAAGCATATTTACGATAGTTTCAATGATCCAATTTAGGTCAAATAAACGTAATTTTGTACGATAATTTGTTTCTATTTTTTAGGTAATTTCATTGAGCTTCTGTTATAGAAGTCCTCATCCCTATTGGCAAAAAATTGAGACAATCGATATCGTAATTACTTGGTACCAAGTTTGGACTATAAGGTGGATGCATAAAAATTTTATAACTAAACTCCCGGAGCTTTTCACGAGTCATTATCGATTTGTGTGGACTGGTGTTGTCCTTATTCCTTCCACAATTACTCTCCTGTTGTTTAAACCTAAACGTTTCTGGGCGATTGTTTCTTGCAGACAGTAATTGACAGATCATACAGTTCAGAGATAATAGCTTTGATGTAGGGAAGCAGATCATAGTGGATGATTTCCTGTTGATCCCACCAATCACACAGCCAAACAGCAACTTCCTGGCCATCGATTCTGGCTTGGCCACCGTTTCTTTAGCTCTTAAGGAATCGTAACAGTGCTTACATGATAGTCGGCCTCGACAATTTTATGATTTTATCGACATTTTTGCCAATTGGCCTTCCAGTACGTTGCGCATTTTTGTCATCGAAATTACTGGAACGGTAATTGACTGTTACAGGATCAGGGCCATAAACACTATTCACATTTTCAGTTGCCTGGCTTGCGTTTTACACCTTTATCAAAAAAATATGTAAAATATGGCGTATTTTCTCTTTGATAGTATCTATCATTGGCGAGCTCTCAAGCAAAACTGAATCAACCAAAGACCAAACTGTCAAAGGTGTTTTTAGATGGACTTATACAACGCGAGATACAAATAACTAAAGCCATCTGTTGGGAAAATAATGGATTTCTTTTTACTACATCTAATATATACTTGTGCTTGATATAGAGTATATACAAGAGATCAACTTTTTAATTTCATACATTGTAAGGACCTTAATATTAGTTGTGATATGCAATGTCATTTAAATGTTCCTTTCGAAATAATTTTTAAAGAAGATCACATGATTTTAGTAACAAATTAATATTAAATGTGAAATTATAAGTCTGACAAGTTTTTCGTCAACAATTCTCAACAAAAGCAGCGACCTGTAGTTATCACTGAATAATAGCTTAATGACGTTCCATTAATCAGACATGGTACCTTGCAACTGTTTTCCATTTACTCAATTTACAAAGACAACGTTTCACCATTAGTTGAGATAAAGATGAAATCGCAGAACGACCTCAAAGTTAATTTAAAGAGACGATAGCATAACAGCCTAATAACAGAGCAGGACTACTTTGATGGGAAAAGAGTAAAAACTTCGAAGATTAGATAAATAGCTATTGAACGAATTGTTGTTATTTTTTGATCACATCTTGTATATAATGTCGAGAAACAAGCTTGTAAATGTAACTAAAAAACTTAAGCAACATAAATAATAAATAATTGATATGTAAAAGAACTATATGTGGAAAAGTTAATGAAGATTCAATAAAACAAAAGTTAATTTCCTTTTTTGTTTAAGTTAAAGAACCTTTCTTATGAGCCGAGTTTATTATATATTCATATAAACGATTAATTTCGTTTATATGAATGTCTTCTTACATACATGCATTTGCCAACATATAATCACAAAAAGTGGCATTTACGGTTCGTATTGTCCTAATTTTACTACATCAGTGCCAACCACAATGCATTATTATTGCATTACCAACAAACACAAGATGTATTGTGTTCCACATTCGACTTTGGTAACGGGCGTGAAATTGATTTTATAGTGGGTGGAATATTCAACACTTTTCATTGAGTATAACAATCCCAATACCAACAATTACAACAACTGCAACAACAATGCATACCAACAATTTGCTTGATACTTACAGAAAATGTAACAATTTAAATTGTAGAAAACGTGGCAAAGTGAAAGCAAAGTGAAAGCAAATGAAAGCAAGTAAAGGAAAGTTTGTAGCTGTTTACGTCAGAAGGACTTTTCTGCACCTAAAAAATGTGGTGTTTTTTATCCTTTTAAATGATGGTTTTTTAATATTCCAGCTCGGTTTACATGTAAATGACTCAGGTCGACATATATTCAAATGTGTGGTGTCTCCTAAAAAATTATTGTGTCACATGCTTACTCATCTATGAGTTTTTCTAAACAGAGTTTTCCTTTAGTTTTCTATTCATTTTTATTTTACTTTCTGTTGAAATGATGTATGACACATTGAACCTTTTTCTCTATTTATAAATTTTATTTTGTATAATTTGCTGACGTTTTAAGTTGAATTTCTTTATCACATCAGTAATGTGGTCAGAGAATTTAATGCTCTTTTGGGATGTGATTACCAATTTGTAGAAACAAAAAATAATTCTAAATTTAAAATATTGTAATTTTTAAACTTTTATTAAATAAAAATTACATCCAAAAATATTTATAATGGAATTATTTCTGATTCGCTAAATATTACCAGTAAATCGAGAAGTCATGATATACACTACATTACATTATAAATAATTATAAATTTTACTGTGATGTCGCAACAAAAGTTGTAATACATTCTTCATTCGCATCCGCAAATAAGGATCATCTTCATGAAACCTGATATCCTTATTCACAATCATATCCT